GACCTCACTTTCTTCATCTTTGTAATGAGGTAAAGATCATTATCTACTTCAGCCAGGCCCAGTGGTACAGGACAATAATCCAACTACTCTGGAGGTTGAGACAAAAGGATCATTTGAGCCCAGGAGTTCAAGGCCAGTCTTGAATGTAGCAAGACCCATTGCAACAAAATCACAAAAAATAATTTAAAACATCACCTATTCAAAGGGTGGTGTGAACAATAATTGAGTTCATATCTGTAAGTGCCTAGAATAGTACATAGGAAGCCACTTTTTGTTGCTGCTATTGTGGTTATTCTTGAAACTTACTGAGACCTGCTCTTTTCGGCCTACTGTTGCCACATTTCCTAAAGTGTAGTCTGTACTTATTGAATCAAGCTTGATTAATTAATAGTCATAAATGATGGACAGAAATCCTAACGAGGAATTTTCCCAGTTCCTCCTCTTCTATTCATTTATCTTTCACTTGTTGTTGCTGAGACAGGGTCCCACTATATAGTTGAGGCTGGCCTCAAACTCAAAATCCTCCTACCTCAGCCTCTTGAGTGCCGGGATTACAGTTGTTCACCACCATGCCCAGCCTTTCACATACTTTGAATCTATTTTGTATTAGATGTTTCCATGTTTAAAATTTTCCTGTCAGCCAGCCCAGTGGACTCAAGATTAGGGCCAGCCTTGTTGTCTATGTAACAAGATCCTATCTCAAAAATAATACAGTCAAATCTTCCACATCAAATTGAATTCTTTATCATTTATTTATCAGTCACTGAAAAGGCATTTTGCATAAAATATTGTTTGTTTAATAAGTGGACACCTGCTCTCCTGTGGTTAGTTTTTGTCTGACATCTTTATTTATGTTGTACCTTTGTGCTTTCTTTATTTTACTCATTTACATTATTTGTTGTATTTGTTAAACCTTGAGCTTGTTCTTTCAGTCTTACTAGTTTTTGTCAGTTTTCTGCTTTATTTCCTTTTGTAGTCTTATTTTCAATTTCCTAAGTTTTTGGCTTTATTGAGGTTTTTTTCCCTCTTATATATTGCTTACTTTGATCCCTTCTTTAAATAGTACCATACATGTTTAATTCTTAAAAATAACTGTCTTCTCCTCTAGAACAATAGAAGTACTTTACAGTAATTTAGCATTACTCTTGTTCTGGTTAGACTTACATAATATTTTCTAAGTCTTTTTTTTTTTTTTTTTTGTAGCCCAGGCTAATCTCAAACTCATGATCCTCTTGCCTGAGCCTCCCAAATGATGGAATTATAATCATGTACTATCATGCCTAACTTTAACGTTTTTGTTTTGTTTTTAAACTGACAAGTCAGATACCAAAAGATTATTATTTTATATAAGCAACTACATTTTTATCTTTCTCCATTGTATTCCAACCCATTCTTCTGCAATGATTTTCCCTCCTGAAGTACAATTTTTAAAGAACTTCATTAAGAGAAGGTTTCTATGTGCTATTAGTTTATGTTTATCTTCATAAATGTCTTTGTTACTTTTTTTGTGGTACTGGAGGTTGAGCTTAGGACCTCATGCTTGCTAGACAGACACTCCACCATTTGAGCCACTCTGCCAACCCTTTTTGTGTTGGTTTTGGTTTTGGTGGGACTGAGTTTTGGTTTTGGTTTTGGTTTTGTTTTTTTTTTTTTTTTTAAACTCAGGGCTTCATGCTTACAAAGCATGCTCTCTGCTTCTTGAGCAAAACCTCCAGTCCATTTTGCTCTTACTGTTTTGGAGATGAGGTCTCAGGAACTATTTGCTAACCTCAAACTTTGATCTTTGTGATCTCACCCTCCTAAGTAGCTAGGATTACAGGCTTGAGCCACCAGTGACCAGCCTGTATTGGTTATCTTTGAGACAGGGTCTTGCTGTTTGCCCAAGCCAGTCTGTACTGTGATCCTTTTATTTGTACTTCCCAGCATAGCTTGAATGACTGGCACATACCACCATGCCCAACGTTTGGTTTGAGATGGGATCTTGTGAGCTTTTTGTCTGGGCTAATCTTGAACTATGATGCTCCCAGTCTCCACCTAGAGGAGCTGTTATAGGCTTGAGCCACTGCACCTGCCTCACTTTTATTTTTGAAGGGTAGTTTGGTTGGCATACCAAGATTATCATTTTCTCTCCACATGTTGTAGATACTGTCTATTTTGTTGTACATTCCTTCATCATTAAGAAGTTTGCTTCCATTTTGTTCTTTTAATAAAATTTTTTCCTTCTCTTGGTGCTGGGGATGGAACCCATGGCCCTGTACATGATCGACATGCTCCACTGATGACTGACAGCTCAGCCTCTTGCCATTCATATACTTCTCCAAGCTTCGTCCTTAGAATATGCTATGCTCCTAGATCTTTAAGTTTGTAGTTTTATTCAGTTCTGATAAATGTGCAATTACCACTTCTTTAAATACTGCCTTTTCCCCCATTCTCTTAATTTTCTCATTCTCGGTCTCCAATCAGGTCGATGTTGAGCCTTCTCATTTTATCATTCATGTTTTTGCTAGACATCTCAATTTACCTTAGCTCTCGCTCTCATATTCTAAATAAATTGTTTGGCTACCTGTTCTAAGTTGTAACTTCCTCTTTAATATTGTGTAAACTGCTATTTAACCTATTCATGATATCTGGTTTTTTTTTTTTTTTTTTTTGCGGTGCTGGGGTTTGAACTCAGGGCCTACACCTTTAACCACTCCACCAGCCCTGTTGTGTGATGAGTTTTTTTCAAGATACTTTTGTGATGGGTTTTTTTCAAGATATGGTCTCGAGAACTATTTGCTCAGGCTGGCTTTGAACCAAGATCCTCCTGATCTCTGCCTCCTGAGGAGCTAGGGTTACAGGTGTGGGCCATTGGCATCCAGCCCCATCCATAATTATATATATATGGTATTTCAGTAGCTTACATCCCACATTTTAAAGTCTATTTTAAAAGTCTTTCTATTCATACCTGATTATATTGTTCTTATTTTTGTGATTATATTCTGTATTTCTTTTTATTTTTTCATTTTATACATAGCTATTTTGTATGCTTTGTATCTGATAACTATAATGCTTCTAGGCCTAAATCTGTTATTTCTGGTTTCTAATGACTGTCCTAATGGTATAACTTCTGGTTTGTTGGGTGACCTTTGTGAGGTAGTGTTAAGATTTCAGTTGGTAGGAATCTTGTGGACCTAGTCTGAGGGAAATCCTTTCTTCTGATGTGGAGTGATTTTGCTATGCTTCATCCAGGAGCCAGAAGGTAGCCACATCAAGGGTCACGTAGCTGTGTGCAGCTGATTCTAAATGTAGAATTTCTGGCTCCTAGACTCCTGTACACATTAAAATTTTGTTAGGAATTCAGCCTAGGGCTTGAGCCTGCTAAGTGCAAGTGCTTTATCACTGCCAGCCCTAGGTTAATTTTTTTTATATTTTAAATTTTAGTTTCTTCTACATTAAGATCTTCTGTATATATATTAAATCACACTTAGATTCTTTATTATGCTTCATTGAAGAATAGTTAGCAGTCATTTTGCACTATTTTTGCAGATTAGAGAGACCTGTTCTAAAACATACTGCATGTTTAATACTATAGTAATTAAAGAAGTAATGATTTGCGCCTTCAATTTGTTATGCCTAAGAAACCATTGTACTTTTAAGTTTTGGATCTAGCACTATTTCCTCTATTAAAACAAACATTTTTCTACTTGTTTTCTTTTAATATGGGCCTATTAAATTATAGTTTCTGTTTTCGTGAATTTTTTAAAAATTATGACTTCAGGTCAGGTTGGTGACTTGATAGGCTGAAATTGGGAGGATCACAGTCCCAGGCCAGTCCTGGCAAAAAGTTAGAAATCCCCATCTCAACCAACAAATCATACATGGTGGTACTTGTCTGTAATTCTAAGCTATGTGGGAAGTATGGGTAGGAAGATTGTGGTCTGAGGCTGACCCTGGGCACAAAAAGGGAGACCCTATCTGAAAACTAACTAAAGCAAAAGAAAAAAAAATGACTGGGTGTGTGGCTCAAGTGGTAGAGTGCCTCCCTAGCACTTAACTCCCTAGCAGTTTAAGGTCCTGAATTCTGAAAAATGAAGATTATACTATTGATTCCATTTCCACAAACAGACTTCGAAAATATTTTTACCTTTTTCCTTGTATATTCCCATTACCATATTGCAAATTTGCTGTTTTGATAGAGAAAGTATTTTTGTTCGTTGCTTTAATTTGCATTTCTTTAAATATTCTTATATCCGGCTTTTTTTCTATGAAGGCACTTTTCTATTAAGAGTACTAACCCTTTTTTCTTGATACATGCCTAAAATCCTAGCTACTCCGGAGGCCGAGGTAGAAGGATTATGATTTTGAGGCTAGCCTGAGCAACTTAGCAAGACTCAAAAGAAAAGTAGCCAGGTAGAGGGGCTCATGCCCATAATCCTAGGTATTCAGGCTGGCCTTGGCAAAAGAATTTGCAAGAACCCATCTCAGCCAATTGGGGGAACAAAGAAAAAGTTTGATGTGCCTTTCATCCTAGCTACATGGAGAGCATTAATAGGAGGATTGTGCTCCATGATGGCCTGGGCATAAAACCAAGACTTCTGTTTGGAAAAATAACAAAAGCAAAAGGAGCTGGTGGAATGGCTCAAGTGATAGAGTGCCTGCCTAGCAAGCACAAGGCTTTGAGTTCAAACCCCAGTAGTACCAAAAAACGAAAAGGAAAACATAATAACCTTTTGTTATGACTTCTAGATATTTTTTCCAGGTTTTTTGTTTACATCTATTTTTTTTCATTTATCTTTTAATCCTTTGTATACTCAAGTTTTGTCAGGTTTTTTTTGTTGTTGTTTTTGAAAGAATAACCTGATTTTGGATGGATTTCTTAAAACTGCTAAGGTTGTTCAATAATAACATTTTTAGCTATTCAAATTAAAGTCAGTGAGAAAAAATTCTCATGAGAAAAAGAAAAGATTGTGAATGTGGTTTTTATATTTGGATTTTCCTTTTATTTTTTACGATGCTAGGGATCGAACCCAAGGCCTTCGTCATGCTAGGTAAGCACTGCACCACTGAGCTGTCCCCAGTGTGGGTTTTCTGTTTCTTAGGACATTTTATATATTGTCATTAATCATTTCTCATTAGCTTCCTCAGTTTTGTGGTGGGAGATGAATACCTCTTTAAGTGTGGGGGGAAAATCTACTTTTACAGACCTTGTTCTATTTTTCAAGAGGAAATAAGTTGCATTATTTTTATCCTGTATAAATGAACAAAACTTTCTTTGTTAGTGTTACAAGAAATTTCCTACTGGTTACCTCCTTCATGTTACAATGTTGAACTGGACTTTTGCACTATACATGAATGGTATGGTGAGGGGTCCAAGTGATTTCTGTGTTTTGCAGGGCAAATGAAAAGGACTAAAAGTGCTGACATTGATGTTGAGACACCGGACTCCATTCTGGTTAACACAAATCTGCGAGCGCTGATCAACAAGCACACCTTTTCAGTCCTGCCTGGAGAGTGTCAGCAGCGGCTGCTTTTACTGCTTCCAGAGGTGGACCGACAGGTGCGTTGTGTTAAGCACCAGCAACTCTCCAACTTCTGCTGCGCTTCTTTCCCTCATCACCTTTAGAACTCCTTAAAATTTTCAAATACCTTGTTATGCACATCTATAAAGAAAATGGCATTAATGGTACTAATAAGAAATAAGAGTATTACTAGGGCTTGAACTCGGGGCCTTACACTTGCCAGGCAGTTGTGCCACCACTTGAGCCATTCTGCCAGCCCAAGAATATTTCTCAGTAGGTAGGCTTGTAAGGCATGATGGGGAGGGGCAGGGAATGGAAACATCCTTACTAGAATGTCAAGACTGCAGAATAATTGTGACCAGCTTTTCTACTAGGATGGAGGCATCTATAGCATCCAGTTCAGGAGGAAGAAGTGTCTTGGTACACTCTGAGCACCTTGTTACCCAGTGCCTCCGTGGAATGGGGAATGTCCAAAACAAGCCAAAAATATGGATTTGCCTGAATAGGTACATCTGGAAGGACACAGACATGGAATGACAGTGGTAGGATTAGGAATGCTCACATTTTTATTACTTTGTTAAAGTATAAAAGAAACACGTATTTGCTTTTGTAGTAAAGATCTTAAAGCTCAGTAATATAAGTTATACTCTGAAAACTCAAGAAGTAGAAGTTTTGGGAAGAATGACACAGGACCTGAGGGAATGGAGCTTGATCTAGATGTAAGGCAAAGAACACCTGAGACTCAGGAAAGAGTGATCTTCTGTCTTCCACCTCTGTGAAGGAAGAGAGAGCCGTTAAGATTTTAGCATGTATTATCTTTTTTTGTGTGTGTGGGACTGGTGTTTGAATTCATGGCTTCACACTTGCAAAGCAGGAGTCTACTGCTTGAGCCACACCTCCAGTCCATTTTACTCTGGTTATTTGGAGATTGGGTCTCATGAACTGTTTTTCTGGGCTGGCCTCAAACCCTGATCCTCCCCATCTCAGCCTCCCAAGTAGCTGAGATTACAGGCATGAGCCACTGACAGCTTAGCTACAGAGAGGTTTCAGAGTAAAATTTGCATACATTCTTATAATACAGTTTGATCATATTTGTCCCCTCTATTACTCTTTCTTACTCCCCCCCTTTTAAACAATTTTAATGGGTTTCATTTATTGTTTTCGTACATGCATATAAAGTGCTTTCAACATATTCACTACCCTGTTTCCTCATTTCCCCCACTGCCCTCCTGCTGGCTTCCCCCATAACTCACCCTTTTACACTTACGTTATATAGATGCTGTGTATGAGGAGACACAATGCTGTTTTCCTTTCTAAGTATGGCCTGCTCACTTTACGTGAGCTCCAGTTCTATCCAGTTTTGTGCGCACACCTAATTTCGTTCTTTAGGGCTCAATAGTACTCTGTTGAGTTTATGTACATTTTCTTTATTCATTGGCCTGTAAGCACCAAAGCTGATTCCATGCCGTGGCTACTATGAATAGTGCTGCAATAAACATGGTTGTGTAGGACTCTCTGCTGTATGCTGATTTACATTCTTTCAGAGTTATGTAATAGGATCATATGGTACTTTTATTTTTAGTTTATTTTTCAAGTAGGGTTTCAGGGCTGGCCTTGGATCCCATCTACCTACTTCTTTGTCCCACATAGCTGGAATTGCAGAAATGTGCCACCAATCCTGGTTTAATCTTTGAGATAGGGTCTCACTAACTTTTTTTTTTTTGGCCCAGGTTGGTCTCAAACACAATCTCCACCTCACAAGTAGCTGGGATTGCAGGCATGTACCACCAAGTCAACCCAACAGTTTTTAAAGAACTTCATTAGGGGTTTTTCTCAACTCTTTGGTATTTTGAGACAGGGTATAAGCATATCCTGGCCTCAAACTCCTGCCTCCACCTCTCAAGTGCTGGACTTGTAGGTATGCACCATCACACCAGGCTTATTTTATCTTTTTTTTTTCCTCCTTAAGACTTAGAGTTATTGGTGTGGGAATCATAGCACAGGACATACCTGATGGCACTGTTAAAAGGATTGATGATGCCTATTCTCTCCCAGATAAGTATTACTGTGTGAAGTTTTAGTAAGAGGAGCCTTAGGCATTACCTAGTTCAATTTCCCATAGAGGGCAGTCCTATGGGACCCTCTTAATAGGAGGCCGCTTGAGCAGCGTTTCCATTGGTCAGTACAGTGGTAGCACACAGTGATCCGAGCAGTAATAGTGAAGGGAAAGTATAGCTTCACTGTCCCATGAAAATGGGGAGTGTTTATAAGGAATGCTGCTTTTTAGGATGAAGAATTCCAAACCAAATGTCAGTGTATGTAGTATTCAGCAAGGAACAGTACAGAAATATTTATATCAGAGAAAGACATGGGGAGTGTAGGATTAAAAGTCTTCTTTTCCAGAGTACTTGAAAGAAAAGGTGGGAAGAGGTAAACGTTATTCAGAAAGCAGATTTGAGGTTGTTGTAACAACTTAAAAAGCTGGAGGGTTAACCTAACCTGTGGAGTGTGTTGACTTGCAATTCAAGTAGAGGTTGAATGACTTTCTCACGGGAAGCTTGTTACTCCTGTACTGGTTCTCAGCAGTCTCAGTTGGAAGTCTTTAAACCACATCCTGCTAGACAATTTTAGCCACTGCTTGTTTTTGTAAATAAAGTTTTATTGGCACACAGCCACTCCTGTTAGCATATAGCATCCATAGCCACTTGTGCTATCATGGCAGGGTTGAGTACTTGCGCCAGAGGCCTTATGCCCTTCAAAACCTACCTAAAGTATTTCTAGATTAGCCTATTACAAAAAGTCTTGCCAATTTCTGCAATAGGGCCTGGGGAAATAAGGTTGGCCCAGATGTGTTGGGAAAGTAAAGTGGGTTATGAAGAGTGCCTAAGTGCCTAGGACTGTCAAATCATTTTGAAAATTTCCTTCAAAAATTATTTTTGGCTTAAAATTTACATTTAGGTTTCTAATCCACTTGAACTTTTTTTTTTTTTAAAGATAGGTTCTCACTGTGGCTGGCCTCAAACTTGTGATTCTCCTGACTCAGCTTTCTAGGCAGGCACTGTATCACTAGAGCCATTCAACCAGCTGACTCAGCTTTCTAAATGCTAGGATTAGAGGCATGTGCCACCATGCCTGGCTAGGTTGGGGGAGAGAGTACTTTGTTGTTTTGTTTTGCATATTATCTGAATTTGGGATTCAGCTTTATTTTCTACTCAGTGGATAACCAGGTTGTTCCATCTGTTCACTACATATTTGTATATTTATGTAACTTTTGAGGGATGGTACTGGTATTTGAACTCAGGACCTTGAGCTTGGTAGACAGGTGCTCTACCAATTGTGCCATATATTCAGCTCTTTTCCTTTAGTTTGTTTTTCAAATAGGGTCTCAAGTTTGTGCCCAGGATTGGACTTGGACCATAGTCCTCCTACCTCAATCTTCCACATAGCTGAAATTATAGGCATATGTGACCAGCCCAGCTTATTGGTTGAGATCTGCTCTCCCTCACTTTTTGTTGAGGCTGGACCACAACCTTCTTGATCTCTGCCTCCCTTGTAATTCAGATGACAGGTGTGAGCCACCACACCCAGACGCAAATTGTTTTTGTTATTAAGGAATGGAGATGAAAGGAGGGGACAGTAAAGAGAAGTAAACAGGAAACAATTATTTTGAAACAAAATCATATTACAGTAAAAAATGATGCATCCATGATAGGCATCATGGTAGGAGATATCTGTGTTTCTGTAGAGTTAAATGTACATACATTCTTTTCTAAAATGAATACAAAACCAAGTACCACATGACACCTTTCACTTTCTTTGTAAGCCTTGCCTAACTATTCTTTGACCCAGGTTGGTCCAGATGGCTTGATGAAGTTGAATGGCTCAGCCCTTAACAATGAGTTCTTCACTTCAGCAGCTCAAGGTTGGAAAGAACGACTGTCAGAAGGTAAGTGTTCTTCCTCACATGGTCTCCTAGTAAGTTCCCTATTAAGAACATATAGGCTTGGACCAGAGGTGTGGCTCAAGTGGAAGAGCACCTGCTTTGCAAGTGCACAGACCTGAGTTCAAACCCAAGTCACTTAAAAAAAAAATAAATAAATAATTCTTAAAAATTAGTCTTGGAATTTTTTTTTTTTCCTGTGGGACTAGGGTTTAAACTCAGGACTTTGTGTTTTCCTAAGCAGGTGCCCTACCATTTTAGCCATACCTCCAGCTCTTTTTGATGTGGTTGTTTTGGAGAAAGGGTCTCAGTTTTTGCCCAGGCTAGTCTAGGTCACGATCCTCCTATTTTAGTCTTCCCTCTGTCACTGGGGCAACAGGTATGTGCCACCACACCCATCTCTTTTCTGTTGAGATGGGGTTTTACAAGCCTTTTTGCCTGTTCTGGCCTGGCACTGTGATTCTCCCCATCTCAGCTTCCCAAGTAGCTAGAGACTTAGTTATTACTGTGCTCTGCATCACAGTTTGAAAAGCAGCGAGGTAACCTGTTTCTTACTGACAGCCAGCCCCAGTAAAACCAGTAGTAAAAGGATCCAGTGAGAATATTTTAAAACACTGCTTTATTGTGATACATGTGACATACTATACGATTTACTTACCTAAATTGCACAGTTAAGTGACCGAACATTTTAATAAGTATGGACCATGACTGGTCACTAGTGCCATGTGTGCCATGCTTCTGATACAACTCCAATGATGGACTGGGTGCAAACAACAGAGTATTTAAAAAGTTATTGGCTGGGACCATGGCTAAAGTGGTAGAGCACCTGCCTGGCAAGCATGAGGCCTTGAGTTCAAACTGCAGCACCATCAAAGAAAAAAAAAGTTGTTGATTGATTGATTATGTAAAGCATCTATGGGTTTTTTTGTTCTTTGTTTTAAATACTGATGTCCAGGCACCACTCGATTTTAATTGTAGGATAGTAACTGAGCGTTAGTCTTTGGGTTGTTAAAAGTTTTCCAGTGGGATGTGGTGGCTCAAGCCTGTAATCCCAACTACTTGGGAGGAGGAGAGCAGTTCAAGCCTGGGCAAAAAGTTCTCAAGACCCTATCTCAACCAATAGCTGTGTGCGGTAGCATGTACCTGTCATCCCAGCTACTCAGGGAAGCACAAATAGGAGGACACAGTCCAGGCCCTGGGTAGGCTTAATGTGAGATCCTGTCTCAAAAATTACCAGCACATAATAGGGCTGTTGGAATGGCTCAAGTGGTAGAGTGCCTACCTAACAAGTGCAAGGCCCTGAGTTCAAATCCCAGTACCCACAAAAAGAGTTTGTCTTAGTGATTCTAATGCAGCCATAATTGAAACCACTGGTTATGTATTTTCATTTCAAATATTACATCTGCTTCTTGATATACCTAGAATACAGAATAACATTTGAAAAAGCATACATAGTTATGCCAAGGAATAGCCTCAGACAAGTGTAGACGCTTTAAAGTAAATACATTTGTAAGAAGAGTGTTAGAAATGCTATTCATTGCTTACTTTTTGTCACATCCTTTCAGAGTTAAAATGATCAGGTAATAGAAACCTATTGTGTTCACCACAGTTGACTTTTCCCAGCATTGTTTTTTTCTTTCTTTTTTTTTAAGATGGGGATTGAGCTCAGGTTTTCAGACATGGTAATAAGCATGACCTCCAAACCCTCCCATCCTCTTTTAGAGAAAATGTTATATGGAAAGGATCTCTTGTTGCTTACTTTGGTCCTTTCTGTTTCAGATTTCCTTGGACAGAGACCCCTTTTTTTCTGAAAGAGTTAAAATCACATAAGTTCTTTAAAGCATACCACTTACTTCCCCAATCCACACTTTTTTGGTAGGTACTGTCAACTGTGATGCCTTGCTTATTATCAGTGCTGCTATTTTTTCACATGACACTACTGTTCCTGTAGTCATGTGGTCATGTTTTATGAGCAACAGGAGCTTTGAACACTGCATGCATATGAAGAGACTTGAGTGCTTTTTAATCCTCATTCTATGATAGGACACACTGTAGAACTGACACTACAGGGTTTTGTTTCCACTGGCTCCAGTCCTTCTTAGACCATTCTTTTGCCCATGCTTATCTAATCCTTTTCCCTTCCTTCTTACCCCCGTGACATCTTAGACTTCAAATTCTGCCATTTGTACCCCTACTACCTGGTATCCTGAATGTTAGAGTGTAGAAGAGAGATGCTTATCTGAGATACAAGTTTTTTTTATCCCATAAATTAATTTTTAATATTATTTTTATTTATGATAAAACACACAAAATTAACCATTTCAAAATATAAATTTATAAATACAAGTGAATTTTATACATTCACAATGTTATGCAGCCATCACCACTGTCTAGTTTCAAACATTTTCATCATCCTAAATGGAAACGCTGTACTTGTTAAGCAGTTGTTCCCCCATTCTCTCCTGTCCCCAACCCCTGGTAACCACTCATCAATCAGCCTCTTTCTCTCTTTCTCTCTCTCTCTCTCTTTCTCTTCTCTCTAAATTAGGATATATTTGTTGTACAGGGTGGATTCATTATGGCAGTTCTGAGTAGGCTTACATTGTTGTACATGGTTAGAATCACCCCCACCATCTCTCCCTCTCAACCCCACCCCACTTACAGCAATTGTAAGAGGTTTCATTGTTTTGTTTTGTGTAAGAAGTCCATTACCCATACTCCCTCACCTTAATCTTCATTCACTCCCCCCACACACAGGTACTCCTCCCCCACTGTATCTATTTTACAGTCCTATCTTTTATTAGTAATTTCTAAGTCAATGTTCAAAAGGATTTCTCTATGTATTCCTGCTGTGAGTCTGTTGGTCAGTTCAGCCTTTTCCATTTGAGCCACAAGTTTGAAAGTGACTTACCAAGCACATTCACTCTTCTCTGCTGGTGAGGTGGGAAGGAGCAAGGTGGTTGGTAGGACGCGAATAAATGCCATATTTGAGCAGTTGGGGTTCAGTTGCCAAGTGTCTAGTTGCTGGGGCACTAGATGGGTACAGTTTTTGGAACAATTAGAAAATTTACAACTCCAGAGTAACTTTCTCGTCAAACAGCTACATTTCTTCATTATGCAGTTCAAGCTAAAAAGTCCTGAAGTACAATTTTCCTTAGAAAAATCAATCATTAAAATAATGAAATGCCCAGTGGGATTGTTTACTGAAAATATACCACTTTTTTCCCCAGTGGAAAATAAATTAGAGGTTCAAGGTAGAGATAAAAGAAGTCTGTATGGAATAAGTTGTCTAGAACAGGAGGGAAGTACTACAGGGAGCACCCAGAGAGCAGGTGCTGTAAGCCTCAGCTGAATAGAGAACCATGCAGAGTGATATGAAGCGTGTTTCCAGAGAGCAGCAGTCAGGACTTTTATAGTGAGGAGTCTTGGGAAGCTTCTGTCATTTTCACGTGAAGTGCTTGATTCCTGCACAAGTCTTCAACATTTATAATACTTGAAAGTTGCAAATAATATTTTTCAATTTAATACCTTTTTTTTTTTTTTGGCACATTGCAGGCGAGTTTACCCCTGAGATGCAAGTGAGAATTCGACAAGAGATTGAGAAGGAGAAAAAAGTAGAACCATGGAAGGAACAATTCTTTGAAAGCTACTATGGTCAGAGGTAAATTAAGACAAATTCTGTAAGCAAGACATTAATTCCTACATATGTGTCATGTGGCATTTTATCTTTTTATCTTAGCAGTAATTCTAGTGCCTATTTCACTTTTTATTTCATCAGTTCTTTTTTACCAAGGCTTTTTTCTTTTTAAGAATCATAGGTACACTGAGTTGGATTATTCATGATTTTTTTTTTTTTTTGATACTCAAATTTAAACTTAAGACCTCATGCTTGCTAGCCAAGCTCTCTACCACTTGAACCATGCCACCAGCCTTTTTTTTATGTTGGGTAGTGTATGTGTGTGTTTGTGTGTGATTTTTAAGATAGGGTCTCAAGAACTATTTGCACAGGCTGAGCCAAAACCTCTATCCTCTTGATCTCTGCCTCCCAGGTTAGCTAGGATTACGGGCCTGAGCCACCAGCGCCCAGTGGATTAGTCATAATTCTTGACACTTAGTATACTAACACTGTTGATAGGTGGTTTCTTTTAAAAAATGAAAGTTTGGATTTCATTTTAAATCTTGAATTTGAATCCCTTCCTCAGAAAAGATTGGCTTTATTTTCAGTAACTTTGAGATACAAGAATATTGAAGTAAACAGGGTGCTGGTGGCTCAGGCCTGTAATCCTCACTACTTGGGAGGCTGAGATTGGGAGGATCACAATCCAAGACCAGTCCAGGCAGATAGTGTAAGAGATCCCATCTCCAAAATAACCAGAGCAGCCAGACACCCTGTTTTAGGCAGGTGAAGTGGTTCAAGCATGAGTTCCTGAGTTTAAACCCCAGCACCACCAAAAAAATAAAATCAAAATAACCAGAGCAAACTGGACTGGAGGTATGGCTCAAGTGGTAGAGTGCCTGCTTTGCCCACCCTAAAAAACAAAACAAAAAAACCACCTTCTGTGCATTTTTATAGTAGTTAATGTTAATTATTCTATAATATAACTTTATCCAGAACTCCTCAGGAGTCCTAGGAACCCTGTCATGGGGGCCATTATACTCAACATGTAATAAGACAGCTGTCCTCTTTAAAAGGTGCTATGGGAGACAGGTATCACTGAATTAAGGCACAAATCCTAGTTTTAAAGGGCTGTAGTTTAAATCACCTTTTTAAAAAACATAACAATAATATCAAACTGGCAGAGTCTTAAGGATTTTTTTGTTGTTGTTGTGTCTAAGGTTTTTCTGTTGTGTCTCAAATGCTGGCTTTCCTATATTCTTGGATTGAGTATTGAGCTGTAGGAATAATGTTATATCTATTTGGACCATTATTAGAGGTAGCAGTATTTCTGTAACTGTTCATTTCTTCCTTCTTAGGTACATAGAGCATTACAGCAATTGAGTGTTTTTGTGTTCAACTAGTACTTTTTTAGCGGGTTGGGATTTGAGACAAGGTATTGCTTTATAGCTCAGTCTGGCCTTAAACTTGCACTTCTCTTGCTTCAGCTTCCTGAATGCTGGGATTACAGTTGTGTGCCACTATGTCTGGCATAGCTGCTATATTTTGCTAGCTTTTAGAGTTGGGCTGTTTTTTGATAACTGTCCAATTTTGTCTTTAGCCGTTCTGTCTTAGAGGTATAGTACTGATCCTTTGAAGTCACCAAAAGGGTTCATTGACTTTTTTTTTTGCCTGTTAATATAATATTGTGAAACATTAAGAGTGACTCTTAAAGGTTAACTTAACTTTTAGCCAGGTCACACTGTGGAAGTCCCAATTTTCCTACACCCCAGGATAGCTTAGCAGCACACAATCTCACAAAGTTTTAGAGCTAAATCAAAGGAGATTTAAATGTACTTTCCAAAAACTCAAGTATCATTCACTACCTCTGGAGCACACTGACAGCCTGTGTCCTACTGTCTTCTCAGGACTCCCCTTGATGTCTTAGGCCAGCCTTTTTATAAGAACTGCACAACAAGGACTGTTGAAGTAGCTCTAATGATAGAGTACCTACCTGCCTAGCAAGCTTATGAGGACCTGAGTTCAAACCCCAGTACAGCTATAAATAAATAAATAACATTAAAGAACTGCAGAGAAAAACTGATTACAGTCCAAACCCTAATTCCATGGTGAATGAGCTTTGGCCTTCCTTCGAGCCCTTGTAGGTATTCTGTGATAACATGCTTCTAGACAATGTGATTCCTTTATAAGAGCGGAAGTAACAATAATAATCACTGTTATTTAGCTTTTGTTCTGTACCAAGTAAGCACGTTCCATGCAATAATGTAGTTGGTCATCCTAACAACACTGTGAAGTCATTAACCCAGGGCGCATTTGAAGAAGCTGAAGTGCTGAAGGCTGGTCATTTCACTACCACACAGACAGCTGGTATCACAGCCAGGATTAAATCGCATAACTTGGGCTCCGAACCTTTACTGTTATTAATAGATGAAAAATACCTACTGTCTGTTATGGGTTTTTCTGTATGTTGGCATATCAATTTTTCTCATAATCCTTCAATAACATGGCCATTTCTCACTTGGGTATTTCTTGTTCCACTTTTTAGTTCTGGCTTGAGCCTGGAAGATTCAAAGAAATTAACAACTTCCCCCAGTGATCCCAAAGTAAAGAAATCCCCAGCTGAGCAACCAAAATCTATTCTTCCTTCAGAGGCCTCTCCTGTCAGAATAATCCCAATAGTTCCCCCATCAGAGTGTAAAGAAGAAGCAGTGCAAATGCCATCACCAGTGAGCAAAGAAGAACATGAAAGCCAAGATGAGGCACAGCCCAACTACAAATCCTCAGAGCCTCTCCTTGTCTCAGCTAGCAACGCAAATGAGCCTAGCAGTGTTCTTCCTGTCAGATGCCCAAAGGCTGAGGATCTCTCAGAACGGAAGGCAGTTGCCGCTACTGAACCAGAATCTGAGAAAGAGAATCACGTCACCACAGCTTCCAATTACAACAAAAGTGAAAGCCAACAGGCTTTAGTTACATCTCCAACCAAACCCAAGAGTCCTGGGGTGGAAAAACCGATAATAAAGCCCATAGCAGATACAGGCCCACAGGAGATCAGTATGAAAGAACCTCCAGCACCTCCCAATGATCAGAATCCAGAAAGCCTCAAGAGGAAATCTTCTCTCACTCAAGAAGAGGCCCCTGTGAGCTGGGAAAAAAGACCACGTGTCACTGAGAATCGCCAGCACCAGCAGCCATTTCCCGTCTCGCCGCAGCCCTTTCTCAACAGAGGGGACAGAGTCCAGGTGCGAAAAGTACCTCCTCTCAAGGTAAGCGAGTTGAAAATAAGACGATGGCCTGAGCACTAAGTTTTTAGTCCTGTCTACTAAATTTCAAGTAATTTGTGGTATTTCTTAATGTAGAAGTGGTTGTATACATTTTATATGCATATAACTTGTCTTACACAAGCAAAATTACTGATAAATAGGCATTTAGAACTGCATTCCTACATCTGTTTCTCAGTGTTTCTGTAACGAACCAGCCCCAGTCCCCCATGCTCTTATATCTTAAGGTAGGGAATTATTCTCGTACGTGACAAAATAAGGAGTATGAGAATAAGGGAAAAAAGAGGCCATTGGTATGATCAAAAGAGCTTTTCTTGGTGCCATAACTGATTTGATGTTTGATGTTCTGTAAATCTAGAGCCCCCTTTAGCTTCTTCCTATGAAAGGAGGCATATGTGACTGTCAGTTACTTGAGGGACATGAGCAAGATGGACTCACCTTCATTAACTTCCATGTGTTAGTGCATGGCAAGTCTTTCCAATTCCTCCAGACGGTGTCGTGACTATCTAAATATGTAAAGACTGCATCTGACAGTGATAAGCCCTTGAAACCCTAAACAGTTTTACTCCTGATCTTAAAGTTCTACAGTTGGGCTTATGTAAAATATCAATGTGCAGTTCCTTCATTAAATATTTATTAATATTATTTATTACTAATATTATTGTGCCTACGAAGAGCTTTAGTTATTATTCATTCACTTTAGGATGTAACTAGACAATAAGTCCAATAAAAAACTTTCCCCTTCCTTTTTATTTTATTTAGATGAACCAGTTCTACCAGCAAACACTCACTGGAAGCACGCATTTACTATAACTTAACGCTGTCATGTCGTGACTCATTCTCGCTTTTATCACGCTAGTGGTGTGAAGCTCTCTGTTGCTTTTTAGTTTGAAGGCCTGTGCTTTTAGCACTTAGGAATCTTTTGGGTTTTTTTTCCCCTGTCACTAATATATACTCTTCATTTTTCCCAGAGATTCTGTCTTGTACCTTTCTTATAAAGATTAATATTTTTATATCGCTAGACCCAAAAGTTTAGTTACGTTTTAGGTTTTACTTTAAGTAACACTGAGTAGGCCCGTCATTTCCATTTAGTCTCTATAAAGAGATTGGGTTACATCATAGCATCATAGCCTGTCTACTTTCTGCTGATCCAGAGAGCTTACACTGACTGCTGGAACTTACTCTAATTAATTAATAGAATTTTACTCTTGTCCTTTCTTTATTTCCATCTCCCTTCTCAACCCACCAAAAGAGATTTCACCAGAAGTTGGTTTAGTTCCTTTCTTGCCTTAGCCCATATCTCAAAAACTGCATTCATAGACAAAGCTTCATGTCATTTATACAGAACAAAACCTTTTAAACTTTTTAAATTTAAGTAGAAAACAAAATTTGAATTTTAGTAAAAATTTATAACTTAGTTACACACACATACTATGTTTATGTTATATGTTTTATACTGAGTGTACATTTTAAAAGAAAATAACCTGTCTGCTTGGCCTTGAGCTTGCTAGGCAGGCATTCTTCTAAATGAACCATTCCATCAGCCCTCTCAATTTTTATGAGCCAGGCATAGTGTCACATACCTGTAATCCCAACACTCAGGAGACTGAGACAAGAGGATCATGAGTTCAAGGCTAGCTTCAACTACATAGCAAGTTCCAGACCATTCCAGGGTGCATAGACCCTACCCCTCCAAAAAAAAAAAGTATTCTTGTGTAACATTTGTTCCTGTGTAAAATTCCCTAAACAACTGTCTTGTGTCTAATTTTCTAGTTTTACGTGTTTTCTCCTGTAATCTTTTCTAGACAATAACAACAGGGGATAATGGCATTTTAGTGTGGACAGCCTCTAAATTATAATATATTCAGTACGTATGCTATGTGTGCTTTTTAGAATTGGATGTAAGATAAATTCAGCTTTAAGAGAAATTAACTATATCCCAAAATAAATACATGGACTTTGTGACAACTTTTACAAAATTGCACAGCTCTAAGTTCTGAGTCACAGATTCAATTTTTAGTGGTACTGTTATCCTTTAGTTAAGGATTTCCAGAAAGATACATGCATTTTATTAGAGTTCTGAGGCTTAATTTTTTTTTTTTTTTGTGGGACTCGGGTTTGAACTCAGGGCTTTGCACTTGCAAAACAGGCCCTCTTCCACTTGAGCCACTCCTCCACTCCATTTTGCTCTGTTTGTTTTGGAGACGGGGTTCTCAAGAACTATTTGCCTGGACTGACCTCGAACTGTGATCCTCCCAATCTCAGCCTCCCAAATAGCTAGGACTATAAGATGAGCCACTGGTGCCTGGCTAGAGGCTTAAGTTTTGTTTTTAATTAAATGTTCTAGAACATCTCTAACAATTATTTGCTCCTTGAAACTCAACCACCTACTGAAGGGTCCACATCCTGATGCAACTGTAACTAATGCCAGTAACTTTCAAAGTATTGCCTAGAAAAGGATGTTAGATTCTTTTATGATAAGAAAATCAGTGGCTTCAAACCCAATAGTGTATCTGTCATAAATAGCTTTTTTATAAAGTACATTTGTTCCTAGGGGTTCTAATTTGTAAATTGTAGGATAGGACCAAAAACACACACACACACGTATTTTAAAGGCTGCACAATGGGCTGGGATGTAGCTTGGTGGTACAGCGCTTGCCTAGCATGTGTGAGGCCCTGGGTTCGATCCCAGCACCAAAAAAGAAAAGACAAAAAAAAAAAAAAAAGGCTGCACAAAAAAAAATACTATACTAGCTAGGGATGAGAATGACTGGTAAACACTATAAGCATAATTCCGTATGTGTATGAGTATGATAGGAAGGACCCTGGACACAAACTTTTGTTGCTCAGCCATGTACTACCTTTGTGAGTCACAGGTGCTGTTGTATTCATCTGTCTGAAATGTAACAGTTAATGAAGTTTTATTATTCTTATAAGTGAAAACTGAGCTGTATTGCTTTTTCCTCCCCTACTTCTTTCAGATCCCGGTCTCCAGGATCTCCCCCATGCCGTTTCCTACATCGCAGGTCTCTCCCAGGGCTCGTTTTCCAATCTCCATCACTAGTCCTAACAGAACAGGAGCCAGAACTCTCGCAGACATCAAAGCAAAAGCCCAGCTGGTCAAAGCACAGAGAGCAGCAGCTGCAGCCGCCGCCGCAGCTGCTGCAGCCGCCTCAATTGGAGGGACCATTCCAGGACCTGGTCCTGGGGGTGGACAAGGTCCAGGAGAGGGTGGTGAAAGGAAAACTGCAAGTGGAGGGAGTCCAGGCTCAGGAGTCAGTGCAACTGGAAAGGGCTCCACACTGGAGCTGGCAGGAACTGGAAGCAGGGGAGGTACGAGAGAGCTTTTACCCTGTGGTCCAGAGACTTATTCCCAACCTGAGATCAAGACCCCAGGCCAGGCACAGCCTCCTAGTGTCTCTGGAGCACAACTACAGCAAGCCCCCTCAGTGCCTCCAGCACCTGCCATCAGTGGCTCATCCACAAACATCCCATCACCAGCCCACATAGAGAAAGCAAATAATGAAAAAACGAACCCCACCAGGACAACAGCCACCATGGCCTGTCCTAGCCACCCAAAAGGACCCAGTAATTGCAGACAGGAGAAACCTCCTTCTCCAACAGAGTCTGCTCTGATTTCAGGAGCATCACCTGTTTGTTTTATAGCTGATGGCACAGTTGCACCCAAAGCAGGTTCTAGTAAGAATGCACTGCACCCTTCAGCCTCAGCAAAACCTGCTGCTGCCGCTCCCATGGATACAGCTTCCTTCCCTTTAACCTCGTTATTGACCACAGCCACTTTAGAACAGTTTCCTGCACCCCAGGTCAGTGTAACTGCAGCATCTACTGGATCAGCTCCATCCCTGAGCACATTGCCAGCAGCTTGTAGCCTTAAACCCCCAGGAACTTCTGCAAATATGAATGGACCCATTTCAAGACCAAGCTCTAGTATTCCTGCTAATAATCCCTTAGTTACTCAGCTACTCCAGGGCAAAGATGTCCCCATGGAGCAAATTCTGCCTAAACCTCTCACCAAAGTTGAAATGAAAACTGTTCTACTGAGTACAAAAGAGGAAAAGGGAATAGGTGCACTCACAGTTACCAGCAGAACAGAAAGTAGCACCAGAGAGGAGGTTAATGACAGACAGTCTCATCCAGCTATCCAGCAGCTGGGGAAAACCTTGCAGAGCAAGCAGCAACCCCAGGTTCCAAGGTCCCTGCAGCTCTTTTCAGCTAAGGACCTGAGGGACTCTAGCATTGACACACACCCATACCAAGAGGGACTAAGTAAAGCAACCCAAGATCAGATCCTTCAGACTCTCATTCAGAGGGTTCGAAGGCAGAACGTTCTTTCATTTGTGCCTCCCTCCCAGTTCAACTTTGCTCACTCAGGTTTCCAGTTAGAAGACATCTCCACAAGCCAGAGGTTCATGCTGGGCTTTGCTGGCAGAAGGACATCCAAACCTGCAATGACAGGTCACTACTTACTTAATATTTCCACCTATGGCCGGGGTTCAGAGAGCTTTAGGAGGACCCACTCTGTAAACCCTGAAGACCGCTTTTGTCTAAGTAGCCCCACTGAAGTCTTGAGAATGGGTTGTACAGATTGTAAAAACACAACAGGAGATAGTTGCAGCAGCAAAGAAGATGAAACTGATGAGGAGAGCACTGGCGATGAGCAGGAGTCTGTCTTGGTGAAGGAGGAGCCCCAGGCATCCCGGTGTTCTGGCAAGCATGACACAAGTTCAGGATCCCACAATAGGGAGACCCCATCCACCAATGACTGCTTAGCCAACAAGAATAGCAAGGTGGAGGCACCAATGAGGGAGCAAACCACTTTAAGCCAAGAGAATTACCTGTTCGCTAGAGGCCATACATTTGATGAAAAGACCCTAGCCAGAGACTTTCTTCAGGCAGCACAGAAACAGATGGCTCAAGTGGTGAGAGGTAAGACGATGCCTAGCAGCCCTGAGCTTTTTAATTCTGCTGCTCTTTCTCTACCTGCAGACAGCCCCACCCATCAGCCTTTACTCCTTCCACCTCTGCAAACCCCGAAGTTATATGGAAGCCCCACACAGATAGGGCCAAGCTACAGAGGCATGATCAATGTTTCCACCTCATCAGACATGGACCACAACTCTGCTGTACCAGGTAGCCAGGTATCTAGCAATGTAGGCGATGTCATGTCCTTTTCAGTGACTGTCACTACCATCCCTGCTAGCCAAGCTATGAATTCGAGCAGCCATGGCCAGACAATTCCTGTTCAGGCCTTTCCTGAAGAGAACAGCATAGAGGACACGCCTTCGAAATGTTACTGCCGGTTGAAAGCCATGATCATGTGCAAAGGATGTGGAGCTTTCTGCCACGATGATTGCATTGGCCCCTCCAAACTGTGTGTCTCCTGCCTTGTCGTTCGGTAATGAGACTGGAAAGATACACATGGTAGTGGGGAAGGGAAGGGTTAACCAGATGTGTTCTTGCATCCTTTTGGAATCACAGAAATAAGGGTTCACTTGTCTTAACAGACAGATGTTAATCAGGAATTCAGAGTAAGGTCTTTTACATTTTAGAGGAAGAGCACCTTGTATAGTAAGTCTAAATTGAGCAAGACTTTATGAATTTGTGACAAGTTTGCACTTACAAAATCATGTAAATATGTCACATTTTGTTTAACATTTGTTTTTCCAAGTGGTTAGGTAATAATGTATTGCTTTGAATTTAGATTTATGTTCCATTTTATTTGACTCTCAGAAAAATTGGATGCAGTGTGTGGCAAAGGGAAACTCTCCCTTCTGACCTTTCCTGGGGCTGAAAAAGGAAAGAGTGGTCTGAAGAGGTGACCATTCACACTGATTATGTCTTTACAGTCTGGCTGCAGTTTATTCATGAATTACTTGGCTTTTGTAGGATTTGGATTCAAGGTTTACCTTGGATGGAACCTTTCTAAAGCGGAAGTTTTTAATAAGGTGTTAAAGTCCCACACAGTGCTCTGACTCCAAAAGCCTGACTTGGCTGGCTCTTGGCTTTTGTTGTCAAGCAGAGCCCTGCTGCTCCTTAATCCCCACCCCCTGGCCTGAGACAGTGAATGTGGCTTCAGAAGGGAGGGCCTCCTTGGCCCCTTCTGTGTTACTGTCGGCTGTTCATGGCAACAGTTCCAGCAATAATACATCTCTCACGCTGTGGTTCATGGGAACTCACAAAACAGGTGTGAAGTACTAGTGTGAAATGACAGACACATGTTAGTGATGTGATTGCAACTGTCTCAGACAAAGGAAATGAAACTTCAACTGAACAGGAAGAACTTTGGGAAATGATTTTTAGCAATAGATACAAGGTAGCCTCTTTCCTCCTCTCCCCCAACCCATTCCCTGTGTCATCCAGTCAGCTGTTTTTGCGGGTAGATAACCGTCTTAGTGACACATTGGCTCCTTCTGTTCAGCCCTTTCTGACTTCCAGTCATCTGAGAAGGATGGAGTGATCTTGTGCCATCACATCTTAAACACGCGTGTGTGCAGCACAGCACAAGACAGTTTGCTGTTTTAGAAAGTGTGTCCACTGGTCCGGAATTACTGCTGTCTGTGTACCTGGATGCCTAAAGTAAAGGGGTCTAGGTGAGTGGCTAAGGGAATGTCTGGAAGAAAAATTAGCTCCCAGGTTTGGTTGTTTTTGTTTATCTTTTTTTAGTTAAAAATCCTCAAGTGACTGGAAGATTTTAAGTACATACTATTTAGGTCACAGCTAAAGAACTTTTAAAAAAACTTATTTACCAAAATTTGGTATTAAATAGGAGATTGTTGATTTGTATCATTTGCATATTGATTTCAAGTCTCCTCTAATTTGAAGTATGTAAAGTAAAAATATTAGTGTAACCTAGTATAGTATTTGTACTTACTATTTTACAAAATTCAGGACAGTTTAAATCTGTTAAGTCACATTCCATATGAGGAGAAAGGAGGCAATACACTATTTTGGCTCCATTCTCTTCCCACCCTAGCCAGCCATCCATCCATAGCACCCCTACCCCCAACCCACATCAGGCAATTCTATAATGGTTTCCTGCAGTCCCTGCTCCAAACTTCGTACGAAACTCACTTTAGTGTTCTCCAGTTTTCTTCTCTGGCTCTTTTATTGTGGCCCAAGGCAAATACAGGATAAGTAATATTACAGCTTTAGCCAAGACAATATGATATCCTTCCATCTTCCCCCTTCCAGCATATGCATAGCTAAGAGGTAAGAAAGACTGCAGGAATCCAGGCATAAGAAGTAAGTTGTCAAGCAAATGGCCAGTAGGAAAAGAAACCAGGGCTCTGGGTAATCCCCGTGGGATTTAAAAACACCTGTTGCTGGATAAAGACTTTCAAGTTCTGTCTCCTCTTCCCTACTTTAGTGGCAGCACTGTGGGCTGATCTTCTTGCAGAAGAGGTGACCTGTTTCAGAATTGATCCCCGTTTTAAATGTCAGTTGCTGGTTTGCATTGTTGCTTCCTTTCCTGCCAGAAAGGCTTTCCTCCATGGTTCACTGAGTCTGAGGATAGGCAGACTAATGAGGACAGGAGGAATGCATCAGAGGTTTCCAGATCCATTTAAAGTGGGGGCTACATCATGCCTCTTCCTGCACATAGCTTCTAAGTGTTGCTAGTCACCAAATTATCATAAATACCACCCCATTGAATCTGTGCATCAAGGAATGCTCCAAAAAAGAACTTGCCACCTAATACACTGCCTCAGGCTTGACCAGGTGAGACAGTACTTTTACTGGAAATCAGTTAAGCAGCAATCCATTTATTAATTTGTTTTAAAACAAGAGTTTCAAGTAGAAAGCCATTTATAAATGAACAGAAAAACATTATACAGTCTGGCTGTTTAAATTAGAGTATGATGCCCCAGTACCTTTTAAAGCAATTTTTATCTTAGCTTTTTAGTTCTTCACCCTTTAAGATCACTTTGAAATGTTTTGATATGTGCAAAGCTGATTCTTTGGGTGTTAAGTGGCTCTGTTCTATTTCCAGAGTCAGATGACATGCCTGATGGCATATGCCTCCAGTGCACTCCTCTAGCCTTCACGTACCTCCTTATAGGTCACCTGGCCACTACATCATCTCAGTCTGATTTGCAAGTGTTCTGAGTTGTCTAGTACAACATTCCCTGAATCTTAAAAGATTTTTGATTGATCAGAACTCTTCATCCTGTTAAACAAAATTAAGCCAAATAACCTGGAGTTGTTTTCCTGCTTCAGTTCCTTAACCCCTGTCTCAAGACCCTGAGGCCATCTGTGGTGCTCTGTGTAATACTTTTAAGAATAAGAGAGCTGGCAAATGGGGATTTTTTCTTGGGGTGGGAAGAGAGTGCTTACATGGGTAGGGAAGGCACACAGATGTGAATTTTTTTCAAGCTTATCTCAGATTTCAATAAATAGCCAAAGCTAGTCCTGCCACCTTCCAGGTGAAGGTACAATGTCATACATATTAATGACCCATCAGTTGCCATCCTAATTTGCTTATTATCACTTTCCTACACCTTATAGACCCTTAAAAACTCTTTGGTTAAATGATTTGTTATAATAAATTCTATTTATTTCTAGGACTCACTGTCAATGAGCAATGCCAGCATTGTTTTCTCTTTGACATTATATCATAACAGGGAGTGAAAAGTCTCTGATTACATTATAACAATGTGGTAAGTGAAAAATTTGGCCAAGGGTAGTTTGAAGCTCATTTATAGAACAGTCCAAAGAGACTGGAACATGATGATAGGCAGGGACCCTCCTGCATGTTTCAATACCTACATACCTATTGAAAGAGACTGTAGGTGAAACATTTCCGAAAGTTGAAGCGATAGCTTCATAGAGTCTTGGTTACCTTATTTTTTTTAATGCTTTACATTTGATACAACTATTAAAGATCAATTTTAAAAATAGCTTTCCAGTAATATATTTTAAGTAATATATATTTTAATATCTATGTAAAAAGTGACAGTGGAAGACTGAATTTCTCATATATGGTATGTTTAATGTAGGACCTCACTGTAAGGCACAAATTATTTCAAAGGAAGTTACTCTAAAGACACTCAGATTATTTTTTTTAAAAAATGCAATAAAGGGGATGGTTTGGGGTTTTATTTTTTATTTTTAAAGAAAATTGACTAATTTACCACAAACTATTTTTTCCCTTCTGGAGATAAGGTTTGTACAGACTGGTTTGGTAAATGCTAAACTTTTGTGTCTTTTTGCCTTTTTAAAGGAATTGTTAACATTGGAATTGAGGGTATGTACAGAGAAGTTGGTGTCAACACCATTTAATAAGTCATATTTTTTCACAAATATAGAAAAAATCATTTTACGTAAGAATTTTAAGTATTTGCAATAAATATATGTATATAGATTGTATGTATTCATATATTCTTATTTTTCATTTTATTATTAAGCAAAAGATAATTAAAAGTGAAATGAAAAACCTTGGAGTTTTTGGTGAATCTTGAGGTCTGATATACATCTGAGAGTGCACGGGGAAGGGCCTTCCATTGTTGCCTTATACACTTCTGGAAAGTAAAGTTATCACAGACTGTATTGGAGAGAGCACAGTGAGGAATTTGGTGATAAGCAAATCAGGGTAGTGTGTGTCTTTCACAACTCAAGTAAAAATGTTAAATTCTCTTAGCATATCTGTCATGTTTTCCCCTTAATCTCTGTCTCCTAGTCACCTAAAGTTACTGGAAATGTGAACATGAGTGAATCTCTTTACTGTACCCATGATTTGCTTCTAAAACGAAGAGTGGTAAGGACATACTTTGGAAAAACAGGCTTTTCTTTCTCTACGTTGATTGACAACTCATTAGCAAGCATTCACTGTCTCCACCTTCCAGGCCTCGGGTATATAGAGAGATAATCTCTTGGTTCTCAGTTTTTCTTGAAAATCGGGTTTCACAGCCACATTCATGTCCTGCTTTACCAGTTTGGAGAGCCGTGTAAAGAGAAACATGCCTTGATTAGACTGTGAGTGTTTCAGCATTTGTACTTGAATTTTTGTCAGGAAGGGCAGTTACAAAAATGAGGACTGAGCCAAATGTGAGGTGAGGTTAAATGTCTGTAGTCCCACACTTAGATGGCTGTCTAATCCAAGAGAATTCATTTTATGATTGTAAGGGATGTGATGAGGTGGAGGGACGTAAAGTGATACCTACCTGCATAGATAGTCTTTGGAAGTAATGATACATATCCTATTTTTAAATGGGAAATACAAAAATAAAACAAGAATAGATAATACAGGGATGGGGATAAAAACACTCAGTGGTAGAGTGTTCGCCTAGTATGCACAAGACCCTGCGTTTGATGCCTAGCATCACAGGAAAGAAAAACAACATACAGATTGATTAATGACCTAAAAGAAAAATTGATGGGGTCAGATTTTCAAGAACCTATGTCACTGACTCATGGAACTATTGTAGCTCACTAGTTCTCCCCAGAATTGCTTGACTCTGGTTGTTTTCACAAGAAAAAAAAAAAAAAGACATACTTTGAAAATTAAGAGTGAGTATTGTTCAAATTTGAAATTTCAAACATCTGGATTACCCAAAGGCACTGGAGATAGTTCAGCCATGCAAGAGAGCACCATTATAAATCTTAGCTGAAAAAGAACTATTTTCAGGAAGAACTACTTAAAGGAAGTCTCAGGGAACACCTGCATCATAACAATTCCCATATATGATAGAAGTGAAGGTAAAAAATTTAAGTGTGTCATGACCGTTTTCAAAGATTGGCTCCCCATTTCTGGGACATATTTATTTAAATGACCCGCCTACCTCATGAGAAGTAAAGGTCATGGTCATGTGATAGCATGGGAGCCTACAGCTGCAGTTGAGAACACAGAGCAGCTTCAACATGAACCTCCAACTATCCTTCATTCACTCCAGCATCTTAGCCATCCATGCTCACTTCGTTTACACTGAGAAGTCAAATTTCGTGTATTGTTTCTAACTTATGTGCAAATCATGTTACTAATTCAGATATTTATTAGGCACCTGCTATGTGCTAAGCACTGCTAAAGTGCTGGGTTTGCAATGGGTAAGCAAAAACTTTAAGGTAAATTCAAAAAGGTCTTCCTCAAGTAGTAACCGTGCAGTCTGTCTTGTTCCGGGCTCAAGGAATAACCAAGTGCTACATGTTTCCCAAGACATGTTGAAAGTCTATAAATGAGTTATAAAATAAAAGCATCTGAGGCTCTGGACAAAACAGTGGTGAAACATGAAGAAAGAGAAGGCATTGCCCCTAAATGGAAAAACAGACGTTGTGGAAGTGAGGAGCCTCTTTGCGAGAACTGTCATTGGACTACATAGGGTAAGAGAGGGACAGGCCAAAAGCAATCCCTAAAATTCATTCAGGTCCAGCTAACCCTCCAAATAACAGTTGGGGTACATGACAAAGCTTTCCTGTTGCTGTTCAAAGCCAAAAGAAGCTAAAGGGAATATTTTTAAAACATAGTTTTTTGTCTTACTAAAAATGAGTAAGACAAAAGTAAGTAAGTAAATCTTGTCTTACTAAGATGAGAAGGAACTCTGGGTTCCTTCATTTGACTATCATGGCCCTTTTTTTCTCCATAATGGATAAAATCATTTTAGTCTTCGTGATTTTCAATTCTAACATTGTAGAATTTTCCTCTCAAGTCACAAAGTTAAAAAGGGGCTTCCCTTTAAAAAATACCCTATCCCTTTTCATTTGAGTAGCTCAAATCCCAATTCTTAATTTTGGAATTTTGGGGTACAGAGGTTTTAAACAAATAAGTCTGCCTTTTGTC